ACTTCTTTGTCACTTTGAGATTTCAGAAGTTTGGAAGCATTTAGTTTATTTATTTATTTATCTATTTATTTTTATTTTTATTTTTTTGTGAGGAACATCAGCCCTGAGCTAACATCCATGCCAATCCTCCTCTTTTTGCTGAGGAAGACCGGCTCTGAGCTAACATCTATTGCCAATCCTCCTCCTTTTTTTTTTCCCCCCCAAAGCCCCAGTAGATAGTTGTATGTCATAGTTGCACATCCTTCTAGTTGCTGTATGTGGGACGCGGCCTCAGCATGGCCGGAGAAGCGGTGCGTCGGTGCATGCCCGGGATCCGAACCCTGGCCACCAGTAGTGGAGCGCGTGCACTTAACCACTAAGCCACGGGGCCGGCCCCGAAGCATTTAGTTAATGATCACTCTATAATACTGATAATTAGTAAGCTTGGAAAAATGTAGCCAGTGTTTTAAATATTTCTCATATAGTCATTTGTATGAAATTGGATTCAGCAAAGAGGAATACTTTGAAGGATGTAAAAGATGATTTTCCAATCCTGCTTTGATTTCCAAATAATTATATCTTTTTTCAGAAGTTATTTCATAACATATGTATATGTATACTCTGTTATTAATGAAAATGAGAGATAACACATAGACTAATGAAGGTCATTAAAATTGTGGGGAAAAAACACAAAATGAATTGATTTTTTATTTAGTTTCATTATATGGACTGTAGCTGTGAAGTAACCAAAAGAAAAACACAGGAAAGGGAGAAAGTAAAAAGACAAAAAGGAAAGGTCAGACAATTCATCAATTATAACCAGCCTCTGCTTTTATAAAAGAGTATTGACTGCTTGGATAAACTGGGAAACTTCCAATGTTGGGTAACAGTGGCAGTCTTTAACATGAATAATTATCAGAGAGATTAAATAGTTAAGCTGTTCTTGGGCTCTGGTACAAAGTTCAGTATTCTGCCCAAGAGCCCTAGGGGACTCTTAGCTCAATCCTGAAAAAAGAAAATGTGATGTGAGCTCTTCTAGGACCGACTCTGTTGCTTTGCCTGATTGAAACTGGTCTATAAGGTCCTCTCTTATTTATCTCTTTTATTTCTTAGCAACTTCATCAATAAAAATGTAAATTTTTTATGTTGTAGATAAATAAAAGTTAAATAAAAAATTAATATTTTATTAATGGAATGCAAACTACAGAATTTGCTGGAGAGAGAAACTATATACAGGTGAAACAACTAGACAGTTCCAAAGTAATCATAAACAACTGAGTTATGTGTGCTGAACATGAGTACTAAGACAATTCAAAGGTCTTTGATCCAGCAATTTCTCTTCCTGGGACTATTCCATAGAAATAAAAGCACCAGTACATGGGCCATAAAAGTACCAGGATATAAGTACAGAGATTTTTATTATTGCAGCAAAAAGCTGAAAACAATATGAATGCCCACCAGTATGGAAATGGATCAGTAAGTTATGATCAGAGACGAGTGTGTAGTATCCCATTTTTGTAACACTAGTGACCCACAAAACCCTAAATGCAAGTATATTTGTGTATGATTATATGAGCATTGAGAAAAATAGGAAAGGATACATACTAGATTACAAACAAGGGCAAGGTGCTGATGTGGGTAGGAGGGAAGGGGAGTGAGGAGTCAAGCAACGAAGGAAAAATATTTAACTATTGAAAAGAGTTCAGTATGATGCGATTACATTTATACACAACTATAGGATATAGGTATATAAGTAAATGAAATAGTTAAAAAAATAATTCAAAAGGACAAATCAACATGATCTGGGCTAATCAGGAAAGCTTTTTGATTGAGAAGAGTCTAAAAACAAACAGATTGAGCCCAAGATCTTGGAGTGGAATTGCTATGGAGGGAGCAAGAGGACACACTGTAAGCAAGCTAATAGAGAAAGAACAGGTTGGACTTACGTAAGACATGAGAAGGAATTAATTTCAGAATAATTAGGGGAATGATAAAAAAGTTGGCCAAGTCATCAAACACCATATATTGTATGATTTCATTTATATGAAATCTCTATAATAGCTGAATCCCATAGAGACAGAAAATAGATTAGTGGTTGCCAAGGGCTGGGGCAGATTGGCAGGAAATGGGGAGTGACTGCTAATGGGCATGGGGTTTCTATTTGGAGTGATGAAATATTCTAAAATTGATTCTGGTAATGGTTGCACAATTCTGTAAATATACCAAAAACCATTGAATTGTATGCTTTAAGTGGGTGAATTGTAAATATGTAAATTATATCTCAATAAACCTGTTAAAAAAAAACGTTGGCCAGATAAATTGGAGTTACCTGGTAGAGAACATTAAAATCTAGGCTTAAGAGTGTGAATGTTGGGCCGGCCCTGTGGCTTAGCGGTTAAGTGCGCGTGCTCCGCTGCTGGCGGCCCGGGTTCGGATCCCGGGCGCACACTGACGCACCGCTTCTCCGGCCATGCTGAGGCCGCATCCCACATACAGCAACTAGAAGGATGTGCAGCTATGACATACAACTATCTACTGGGGCTTT